GCTTTGAGTTATTAGTTTGAGCCAATTACTTAGGCTCACATTCACTATCCACTGCAATTGTCACTTGTCAGTACTCAAATGCTTTCCATCTGCTGGTCAAGTGAGTGATACTAAGCTCATTCGCTTTCAGTAACAGCACCTACTGACAAGTTCACATTAATTCTACCATTCCTGTCAAATAACGAAGGCGGTGCCAAAATATCTTCCAGTTGTGCATGAGTAATGTAGAAAACTAAGAAAGAAAGCTAAGTTTCGAGAAAGAAAACCCTGGGTCCGAAGTAAAGTAGGAATATTTATTTTGAATTGCGCTTTGATTGAATATCATTATCGTTATTATACCGTTCTGGATCAAATATTTTCCAAGTTCGGTTGCTGAATAATCCCTTGCTTGTAGAAGTTTGTGGATACGCGCATAAAAAGTGATCCAAATAATTATTCATGTCTTCCGAGTAATTCAAGTTTTTACCTCTAAACTGCTTTGACGCGATCTTAGTAAATGGTGGTCAGAAGCCCCCGAGTGGGAAGAGTACGTTGGCCAAGCGGAGACATCCTGCTTCAATTTTTCAAATTGTTGTCGTATGCGAAAGGACACGTTTGTGGCCTGGCCTTTGTTAGGCACGCCAAATTCCTTTTTTCCTAACTTAAACAGATTTACTTTTGGTAATTGTACTCCTCCGTTGATTTCGTAGTAAACATGTTTTTTTCGAAAAGATAATCTGGTTTGCGAGTGAAATCTCATAGTAAGCAATCCTTTTACCACCTCACTGAATGCATAACTGTTCTTGGTTGTCATTGGAGAGCTACGATACCCTTTATGTAAAGTTGATATATAAATACGTTATTATACAAAATCTTTTTCTGATTTTCTTCACTTTTTATCATCTTTTTTTATCATCTTTACCAAAAGGTTCCGAAATGATCCAAATTTGATCAATTCCGAGATGCGCGTTTGAGTTCAGATTCATGTAGGCTATCGAGCAACTTGCGATGGGCAGCCAGTGTAGAACCCACCGCTGTTACCTTTCCATAAAAACTAGTACCAGTTAAATGTCTAGTATCTGTTAATGAGTAATGGAAGATCTCGTTGGCCTTGACAGGTAATAATCCGGAATTCGATCCTTGGATATTACTATTGGCTTCAAAAACAGTACTATTGAGTCGATAGGGATCGTGTAACTAATGTTCACTTCATCGAGGTTCTCGTCGTCATCTCACCCAGCATACATAGATCAACTTTTCTACATCATTGACTTAAAGGCACAGTTCACGATAATAATGGTTTCTGAGATTTCCTCATAGGATGAACTGTAGACCTCTTCCTATACCATATGTGGCGCTTTCAGGTCGGAAAACGGCCGAGATAGGGCGTTACAAAGGCTAAAAGATTGTCCCGTGGGTATGGCTGGACGAAATTCACCGGCATTGTAGAGGCTGCACCGATCCCAGAACCCATATAGAAAGTTCAAACAACTTGTTATGACCCATAGCGACAGTGAAAGGCGGTTCTGTATAGTTCTGGCTTGATGTAGTCAGCTCGCCCAAATATCTCTCTCATGTCTTTTCCGTAATGGTAGTCTCGTACAACCTCTATATCTACTATTTTTAAGGAGCCCTATTTTTTGCGAAATCGGCGAATTTTTTCGCTTACTCCACCACCGATGCACTACTACCAGCCAATACTTCCGCTTTTACTCAAAAAGGGTACCCCAAAATTATCGTGAACTGTGCTTTAATGATTTTGCCACTTTCGACTGGTTGGTTCCCAAAATATTTCTAGTACTTAAATTGTTATTAGCTATCGTTTCCAGGTAAGACAAGTAATCCATCTCTGTTAGCTTTGACTAGCCTATTAGAACGTGATGCATCGCTATCGCCACAATTTTTTTGCAAGTTCTCTTTACCGCTTACGACAAGCAAAACTATCAGCGGCACCTTACGGCTCTTTCATTAACCACATTCTTTCAAATCCATTTTGCATCTACAAAACATTCTTGTCTTCACAAAAACTTTATGATTGCTCTTCATGTTCCTTAGTTTTCTTCCAATCTTTTGCTTAATGAAGCTCAGGAAACACTGTAGTACCATATCAGTCCTTATTATGGGAGGTGAGCAGCAATAAATATAAAGCTGAGTTACCAAGATGTATCTTCGGCCGGCATCGATAGGCGCTAAGGCTACCAAACTTTTCACTCTATTGGAATTAGTTACCAAATCTATCTGTATGAACACAATAAGCACATACAAACTCTCAAACATCATCTGCTACCGAAGCGTTCAGATGATAGTATGATTCTGAGAGGAGCTGCGAGGAAGTAGCCAAAGCAGGTATGAAAAAAAGAAAAAGCAAAAAATTCGGGAACTTTGGCGTTCTATTAATTATTCATTGGAACTTCCCAATACTTTCAATTTCCAATATGCAGCGTTGTCGTGGACGAAACGTACATACCTTCCCATCAGTAGTTTTTGTCCCTGTGGCTACAATTCGATGTACTGGTTTCTCGATTCTTTGAAAATTTATTTGCAACGTAAAGTAAAGCAATTGCCTTGTTTCAATTTTATGATGTCAGACCTGCGTGTGGTGAGAGCGAGAAGACAATCGTTCCTGCTGCCTGCTCCTTTCTCTGATCTTCTGGGCCTTGATTCGGAGCTCCTAGGCTGCTCTTTACATAGAAATATCTCTAGGTAGTTCTTTGCATTAGTCAGATGAATGTTAAGTACATTGCAGTTTCCGAATAGTAAATAAACGATGGAGTTCTCGGCATCGATTATCCCCTTTTCAAGATGTTCTCCTGCTTTCTACGTTTATTTGGGATCATGAGCGTTCGGATGCGTATTATCGGGCTCAGAAGGGGAAGTTTAGTTGTTCTGATCGGGTCTGGTCCTAAGATTCGATGTTGGAACACACAAAGTGGTGAAGCCACGTAGAACTACTCCACCTACACCATTCGATTCAAAGGTCAGTATTTATGATGTGGATGAGAACACGTACTGGTTTACTGCACCTTCAGCCATGCGGAGATCCCAGTCTTGACAAAATTTCACATTGGCAGTTCTTGTTGTGGCCATACTGGCAAAATTCTCATTTTTTTCGCTCCATTTGTTTGTTTTCAGCGTTTCCGTACATCTAAAAGCTTTAAAGAACTACATTTTCATGACTCAGTTCATGTGAACTGACCGCCACCCTCTTTGAAGTATTTGTCCTCATTACGTCTTAGAACATACATACATAGGAGATGTTCGCGTTTTGCACTCATCAACGACGTCACATTATCGTCAAGTGAACGTGTCGTGGGTGACCCATTACGAGAGAGAGATTTGGCCACGAAGGCTTTTAGAACTTGCTCGAGGGTAACGGCATCTACCGCTGAGACATCGATCTCGATCTCAGGCTTCCTCCTCTGACTAGTTTGTAAATTTTTCTACTTTTGCTCCTGTTTTCACTAAGTTACCTCGATGTCGTCTCCTTTGCTTGATGTCGTCGGTCTAAGAATAGGGAACCCGTTCTTGATCTCGACCAAGCTTACATCCTAGCACCACAATGCAGCTTCATTGAAATTCGTTTTCAGTACTTTTCTAATTAGTTCTTGGACTTTATGATGAACTCATGAGATGAAATTTGTTTACTTGACCGAGTTCTGCGGGGTGTTCCCGCTCGTTGGACAACATATGTGAATTTTTCTCGCAGTAATATGGTTTTTTAGTTGATGGCTGAATCTGAGGAAAAAAATCTCGAAAAAGAAGCCGAGCAGATCGAAGCAGAGCTCGGTGAAGACCATCTTGTTCACCTACTGCAATGCCTTACATCGAACTCACCAGATGCCTCACAACGCCTTCTAGAATTGCATTCAGAGGTAAGAACTCATGTTTTGTCTTTCAAATCAGGCTTGACCTCGCAACTCCGTCAAAATAAATTACATGTTCGTTGAACCCAGTTATATTTGTGCAATTTAAATTGACTGATTCAATTCTTTCTTCCCAACTCATTATAGATTTCCCCTACAGGAATCTTTGTCCCTCACATGAGCAGTAGATAACTTCGTTTTCTTCGATTTAAAACCTTCAAATGACGCCTACGGACATTTTCACATTTATTTATTTTATTTTCAGTGCCGTAATGTCATATCGAAAAAGCCACCAATCAAATCAAAAACCGTGAAGCTGGAACAGAAACAAACCATTTCACAAGGTCCAACTAAAGGTAAGTGATATAAGTACATCTACTGAGGGTTAGACGATAGAATTGTGCTTGATTGGCGGTAATTTTCACCGGATGCTTAGCGCACGTAAGAGTTCTAGCAACAGCAGAAGGTTGAGATGATACCTTCACCCTGGTCTCGACGCTTAATATAATACTTTGAATGTGTAATTATGGGGAGTTTTTTGAGGTCGAACCTATGACTAAAAATCTTTCCCTAATTATAATTTCGGAATGCGCCGTGCAATGGATATTTTTCGGGTAAGCGAAATGTTCAGAATGCTGTCGAAGAAAATAATCTACAAGGCTTCTGACTTCGGCTAAACCGCTCGAAAATTCCAATCTCAGACCAATTCAAAGCATTCAGTGTACCTTTTAGGGACAGGTCTACTAAGGAACAAACTGACTGAATTGTTTCAATTAGTTTATTAAAAGGTGGTAGAAGTTATGGCGGGTGTACAGTGACAGCTGGCGCACTCTCACACATGGTTACGGTCAACCCTTTCATTCCTCTAAGGCCAGTTAATTGCTATCAGACTCGCCCGGGGCCGGTTAATTGGTATCAGACTCGCCTGTGAGGATAAAATCACTGACTCGTACATCGGCTAGCATCCACAAGCCATTGTATAGAAAAAATACGCACTCAAAGTGCACTATTATCTAAAAGGGAATCGAGTGCGAGGGTGCATCCCAAATACGGGATGGATTTGCGCCAAAGGATTAAATCTTTAGGTCATAGGATTCTTTGACCCGCGGCCCATGAATTGACTCCACTAAGAAATTTATGGTTCGATGCTTACTCAGAGGAATTAGTGTCCTCGAGGGCTTGAGTTGAGTTAAATTGACAGAAAAGACCTTTCTTATCTCTTCGAAATGATACTTCCTCTTCAGCTCCACAAAAAGTATGTTAGCACATCAAACATCTATGACAAATACAATGGAGATGAATATTTCATGAGAAGGTGTTTGAACATTCGTGTAGTTTGTCGAAGGTGGTGTAATCTATGAATTGAGAAAGGAGGTTTTCTCAAAACCTGATATATGTTCCTTTTTGGGGTGGATTCTCGAATGTTAAAGTGTAGAAAAGAGAAGGAGGAAGGGATTCATTTCTGATTGTTCGGTTACGTCATATTCCTATACCAGAATCTTGAGTATTTTATGGTCAATATGCATGTAAATGAATTTTTTTCTATCAGAAAAAGGTATTTATACTTTCCTAAAATATACGCAGTCACATAAACGCCAAAGTAATAGTTTAGAGCAGTAGCTCCTATTGTCCCACTAATCTATGAAGTGCACCTTAGGGCGTTTAGTTTGCCAAAATTCGTTTGGTACTCTGGGAGCCAGGAGGCCATCAAGAAAAATCAGAAGTATTCTGTTCAACGCTACAAATAAGAGGTCTTGATTACTAATCGCATTTCTTTTTTCAGCTGTGTCGAGCAAAACGATGGCATCACGTACACAGAAAGTCCAGCCAGTTGTACGTTTACCAAATTTTTTGACTTATTTGCCATTACCTAAGCTCATGTTTGGGGTAAAAGCGGTAATCCCACACAGACGTATAAATAGTAAGTTAGGAAAAACCCAATAGAAAATGTTCCCCGAATTCATGTACAACTTCTTACAGAAAATGTGATTTTTTCAGAAACCTCGAATAATGATGACAAAACAAGCGCACTCCTTGGTACCACGTGATACGCACAGGAATATCGCCGCCTGACCTACAAGCCTTATTGATACTGAACTATATTTTTCTTCAAAAAATTGGATTAAATTTACTGGTTTCCATATTTGTACATAATAAAAGTATTGAGCATTCATTTTGTTTCGATTATTGCTACTCTCAATCCAATTAGGAAGTGACACTTGTCATTGAAGCTCTGATGAAAGGCATGTCATGGACAGGAAGGGAAACTTGAGACGAATGCTGTTCCATATGTCAAGTCTGTGACTGTAGTTGATTAGAGGCACAGTTCACGGCAATTTTGGTCATCCTGTAGATGACGAAAAGCGAAGGAGAAGGTGGAGAACAGTACGATGGAGGCGAAGAAAGCACTCGAACCGGTGTTTCCAGAGCCCTGTGATGCTTCAGAAAAGCCGTTAAAAAAGTGGCTGGATGAGAATAAGACTAGAAAAACGAAGTAGAAAGGGTGTTTGGACGAATAAGACTAGAAAAATGAAGTAGAAAGGTTGTTTGGACGTGCTATACGACGTGTATCATTGCGTTGTGGGTCCTGTGCGAATAGCTTATTACAATAAATGAAATATTCTTCAAAATTCATTTACCCGTAAGCATAAGGTAACAAAAACACTACTACGGCAAAAAGAAAGGCAGAAAATAACAGAATGAGAGTAAAACATCGCCTCATCACTCGGCGATCTGCTGATACTGCTGAACGTGTGGATCCTGGCGCGAATATTGCAATCTGTACCACATCTACAGTTCGCCTGGCACAACATCGATCGATGAGCGTGGCATCCGACCGATCCGTCAATGGGGCCCCCATTATGCCCTAGCTCTTGAGCTTTAAGCCCGACAGCGTCCTTTCTATCACCCTTCGGGGCTACCAGGTAATTCTGAAAGGAAATCTGGAAAATCTTCTCACCGTGAACTGCGCCTCTGAAGTACGCAGAGGTCACTAGGGTAAAAGAGACTTCCAGGATTTTTCAAAGTCATAGGAAACATCAGCGGTGTAGATAATAAAACCGATCCATCAAAACGAAATACTTCGTTTTTCTTTTTAATTTATCAAAGTATCTTATATGATAAACCACGTCTGAAATGCAGCTTTCTAGGGCATTCTTACTATATCTGTCCCTTTCGAAAGTATGGACATAATGATTCCATTTCCAGTTATCCACCGCGTCCAGTTCACAGTTATTCATTTGTCCTTCACAGTTCACACTGCAACAATCTTTAGCCCACTCGTATTTCAAGCCACTTGAGAGCCTACTGCGATAACTATGGTGTGGAGGATAAATGACCAGCGCAATATTCTTTCTTTCCCTTCAACACCTTCTATCATTTCCGTTTTCTTTTGCTACTCGTTCTAAGCAGGTTCTGTACTTTGTAAAACTGAACTCACTGCTTTCGAGACAAGATTATTTTTGGTGATATTGAGTTTGTGAACGGATGTGAATGAGAGTGAGCCATCGCTGAGAGGATGACGCATCATGGCTCTTATCCTGACTTTGTTATTAGTTATCACCGCTTTTCACCAGTGGCCCATGCCAGTCATTGTGAACTATCCGGTTTTCTATCACTTTTTACTTATGTTAAAAACGAAAAAAGGACGTCTACTAGAAGATAATCCATTTTCAGAACACCTAGATATTCGATGAAGTTGTAAGAGGGTTGCCGAGTCTGCCGCAGCATAGACTAGGAACGTGGAACTGGACGCATATTACGAGAAGGTCGACGGTTGAGAACAGGAAAAGTTCGTCTGCAGTTTTATCAAAGCAACAGAAAACATCGGGGCAGTCAGATTCGCTAAGAACAGCGATGGTGCTTCTCCAACAAGGCATTGATAAGTAATCAGAGTGGCTTGAGTTGCTCTTTCCATGAAGCAGCTGCCAAAAAAAGGTTTGGAAAGGAACTTAAAATTGAAGAATTTGTCGCTAAGTGAGCTGTAATATAGCACTTCTGCCGCTTTCGAGTCCCTCTGTCTGGGTTGACATTCCAGTTTGTGGTCTGGTAAACTTCCGAAAAACTTTCTGGGGCTCACATTGATCTTCGGCCTACCAGAATAAAAACAAATTTAACGCTAACGCAAATTTAACGGTAACGCTTACTAAGCATGGTGGGTACTGTCAAATCAAGGCTTTCACTTTTTCTATGTGTGAGAACGAATGTGGTTCAGTAAAACGTTTATTATGCGGTATGGACCCGCACGGTATGGGTTCCGTTGAATACATTTTACAAGCATCGTCGTCGAGGAAACTCACCTTAACAACTGCTCCAATTCTTTTTGTAAGACTGGAGGGCTGGAGAAATCGGAACAAGAAACTACCTCTGTATTTTATAGAACAAGATATGGAAGAGAGGACTCGACAAAGCTGAATTTCGCAATGTTAATGGAAACCAGCTAAAAGTTGATCTGTGAAACCACCTGTGATTCCCGTCACAATGGCTTTGTTCTCTAATCATTCATAAAGTACTATAAAAAGGATTACCTGCCGATTGTTCGTCATCCGCTCAGCAGAATACGACATGTTCTTCTACATTGTGTGCGCTCTTTTCCTGCTCAACGCTTTCACAAGTGAAGCAGCAGTCACCAAATTTGTAAGTTACCCTTTATGACTTCATTGGCGGCCCCGAACATAGGTGAAAAGTCGTGGTTTCGATATGGATCACATAATCAACAGGATGGTTGAAAAGTTTCATTTAGCCTATTGCAACAGATACAGAAACTGTCAAATTTCCGCGCGGATCCCTGTTTTTACCGCTCCCTGA